TGGCTGCGTAATATTCCATGGTGTATATGTACCACAGCTTCCTCATCCATTGGTCTGCTGATGGGCATCTAGGTTGCTTCCATGTCCTGACTATTATAAACAGTGCTGCGATGAACATTGGGGTGCACGTGTCTCTTTCAGATCTGGTTTCCTCGGTGTGTATGCCCAGAAGTGGGATTGCTGGGTCACATGGCAGTTCTATTTCCAGCTTTTTAAGAAATCTCCACACTGTTTTCCATAGTGGCTGTACTAATTTGCATTCCCACCAACAGTGTAAGAGGGTTCCCTTTTCTCCACACCCTCTCCAGCATTTATTGCTTGTAGACTTTTGGATAGTAGCCATCCTGACTGGTGTGTAATGGTACCTCATTGTGGTTTTGATTTGCATTTCTCTGATAATGAGTGAAGTTGAGCATCTTTTCATGTGTTTTTTTGCCATCTCGTACAGATTTCTTTACTGGAGCTTTTTCATCATCTTCAGCAGCAGCAAGCTTTACTTTTTTCTGGGGAACCTTGCTGCCACTTCGAGGGGCAGAACGCTTTCCAGATATACTTAGGACTTTCACATCCTCCTCCTCCTCCTCGTCTGACTCTGCATCTTCCTCCACAGCTACTGAGTACTGTCCACTGATATGCACAGGCCCTGAACCACACTTCAACCGTAAGACCACAGGTGGTGTAATTTCAAAGCCCCCAAGAGAAACCGTTGGCTGTACAGACATTTTCAAAGTTGCCAGTGTTACTTTAATTGGACTGCCTTCATAATCCATCACCTCTACTTCAACAATGTGTAACTCATCCTTTGCTCCAGCCTCTAAACTGACCATTCTTAAAGATAATTGGTGCTCATTTTCATCATTATCCAGTTTGAAGTGATAATCTCTGTCAGCCTTTAGGTCACAACCAAAAAGATAGTTCTGGGGCCTCAAGGGGCTCATGTTCATGTCCATTGAATCCTCTGTGGGTTGGCAGCACGCACTTTATGTGGGAGAGAAGCCGAACGGAATTAAACAACTACTATTCGAACGAGCAGCCGCGCGGGACGGAATCACACCAGGGCCAGAAGCCTTCTATTAACCAACCTTGTCAGTCTCATTACCTGCCTCTTCCCTGGCTGCTTCTACATATAAAACTACTTGTAATTTCTCACTTGGTCTTGCTTTTTCTGTGACCACATGCCTTTGTGCAGACTGTATCCTTGCTGCCTCAAATGGTCTTTACCACAGGCCTTCCCTCTCTGCCTTGGTGTCTGCTATCTAGCTTCTCCTTCAAAGTTGACCCTTGAACAGCATGGGTTTGGACTGGTTCAGGTGCAGTTATACACAGATATGTTTTCCAAATAGTAAATACTGAACACAGTCCCTGGTTGGTTGAATCTGAGGTTGTGGAACCCGTGATCTGAAGGAACCATGGATCTGCAGGACCAACTGTAAGTTATATGCAGATTCTTAACTGCAGGAAGGGTTGGTGCCTCTATACCTGCTCCCCTCTACCACTGTTTAAAGACCAACTATCTACTGTTGAAAAAAATCTGTGTATAAGTGGATACTCCCTGTTCATACCTATGTTGTTCAAGAGTCAGCTGTACTTGCATTTTAAGGATACTCTTTAATTTTAATTAATCAATTTTTTATGTCTGTCTGTTATTGTACAACTTCATCCTTTTAAGTCATACTTGCTTATTGTCTAAGCATATTGTAGGTGTTTTGTGTATGTGTGTTGAATAAACCACAAAATGGATGAAAAGGAGAACAAAGTTCTTCTCCAGAGATCAAATTTCGTTAACACCATACTTATTCCAACTTGCCAAGGAGCCTGACAGTGGGAACTGTAATCAGACTAAGTTTGAGAATATGCACCCTATTGTTTTTTAATATGGACCATTCTTTGAAGTGTTTATTGAATTTGTTGCTGCTAAGCTGCTAAGTCTCTTCAGTCGTGTCTGACTCTGTGCGACCCCATAGATGGCAGCCCACTAGGCTCCGCCATCCCTGGGATTCTCCAGGCAAGAACACTGGAGTGGGTTGCCATTTCGTACTCCAATGCATGAAAGTGAAAAGTGAAAGTGAAGTCGCTCAGTCGTGTCCGACTCTTAGTGACCCCATGGACTGCAGCCTACCAGGCTCCTCTGTCCATGGGATTTTCCAGGCAAGAGTACTGGAGTGGGTTGCCATTGCTGTTTGTTACAGTACTGCTCTTGTTTTAGTTTCAGTTTTTGACCCCAAGGCATGTGGGATCTTAACTCCCTGGCCAGGGATCAAACCCACCCCCCAGCATTGAAAGGTCCAGTCTTAACTACTGGACCACTTGGGAAGTCCTGAGTACATGCACTCTTGATCTGAGGCCCATGTCTCTATTTACCAGGTATCTGATCCAGTTGAGGATGGTTGAGCTCTTAATTCCTATTCTAGCTCTGCTGTTCATTGACTGTCTCTGGGGAAGTCGCATCAACTCTGAGAACTTATTTCCTCCTGTGCAATTGTAGGGACTCCCTGCTCTAGTGCTTGGAACACCGTGAAGCACTAGGTGAGGCATAGATGTCATGATTCAGCTGACCACATTTGAGACGTGCTGCTGCTCGTTTCTTTTGTAGTGCCCAAAAGGTTGCTTATTACTTTTTCCACTTGTTTACTTAGCAAAAAGTCTTAGTTATTCAGTGAAAGCAGTTATGTTAGTGGGTGCTTCAGAAGGATTGGATGCCCAAATGCTAGTTTATGAATCAGGTTTCTGTGTTTAAATCCGAAAGGAGCTAATTAAGTTTATTCTTTGCCCATGCTGGATTTTAAGTTCTCTTAGGTTAAAAGGAAAAAAAAAAATTTGGTAGTTACAAAAGTGCAAAGCTTTTCATGTCTGGAAGGAGGATCATATTTAAAAGATTTATATTGTTTGTGATTTGTGGCCAATTGTGCATTTTTTTAACCTGTATTTCAAATAGTCAAAACCACTAGCAAATGAAAGTATGACTCATTCATAGCTGTTGATGTTTAAATTTTTAAAGAACTATACAATTGCCATATCAAATTTGATTGTTTCACGAGCCCATAGTTATTTCTTTCTAAAAGAAAGCGACAATAGTTTGTCTCATCCAAAGGATGAAATGTTTTTCTAAGCAAAAAGTAGCTTGTCATAAAAACGGGTCCATTTCTCCTCCGGAGATCTGCTAAAGTAATTACAGTTTTAAGTTGAAACTTTATTGTTAAAATAATTCTTTTATATTTCCTATCTTAAATGTTAAACAAAAGAAATTAGTGATTTTGAAAAAAAAAAAGAAGGGGGAAGGAATTCCTATTTGGTTAAAGTACTCTGCATGGAACCTTTAAATTTTGATAAAATATAATTGGAAGTTCAAGAATGGCCTTCAAGGGCTATCAGAGAGTCCCAGCATTGAAGTACTTTAGGGACCCAGGCCCCTTAGTTTTCAGCAGACTGTCAGTAAATACGGTATTTGTGAGGAGAGGCAACACCATCAAGCACTTGGGCGTCTGCGCTTTAAAACCCAGCTTTGGGCCGCGGACGCCTCAGGGTGAAGTGTCGTCTGTTCCTAGCTAGTGTCATGTGGTGTTTTTCTCTTCAGATATCGTCGGAGTGTCACTGCAGAGAAAAAATCACACTCCTCCGAGTCCTCTATTTCTGATTAGAATGTTCTTTTGCTTGGTCGGAAACAGCCCTGTTTGGTTTAAAGATTCAGGCTCCTCTCCCCGCAGAGTTAGCTCTTTCCCCTTCTCTTTCCAGGGCCCCGGCATCCTGTTTTCACCAGGCCCGCTGTCTGCCCTGGATGAGTAATCTGGCCTGGCACCTGGTGCATTCAGGCAGGCCTGTGCAGCGGAATCGTCACACCTAGTTATGTCTGCACACCTGATGTTTTATTAACCAGTATTGATTTTTCACCCGGGGGACTTTTTTTTTTCTTTCTGAAAAAAGGCAACCTTGCAGGAGTGAAAGGCATTGCAGGGGCTGAATTTCTAATGAACCCCTTCTTTCCCTTTTTGTGACTCTTTAATGTGGCTTCATATTTTTAAGCACCTGATCTGAAATTTCATTTTCAGCAATTCCATTTCAAGAAATCCTTTTAAATCTTGACTTTCTGTAAGGTTATTTTTTCAAGATGGTGCTGCTTGACTGAAACACTCAGTAGTGCCTGTAAATCTGAGCATTTTGTTCTACGTTGCGAATGAGGCAGGCTCACATGCAATGAAATACAGAGACTTTGGAACTCTTTGAGGACTGCTTAGAGAAATAAAAGGCAAGAGAAATCTCATGTCTTATTTCAGGTAGTTCTAAAGTTTCTTCTTGTTTCTTTAGGGTTAGTTCAAAGAATTAAGTAGCCGTGGGAGTTATGAACTAGTGTTTTGTGTCATACCATGAATTTGTAGCTCAGCAGTTATTTGTGTGACAGAAAAGGATTTTTTTCTTTTTTGCATTCGAAAATGAACATTGACAATATCATTTACTTTTAGTGAGGTGTTCTCATGATGATAGTGTAAGTACATCAGAGTTTTTGCATCTCTCAATGTGGCATGGATTTTCCTTTCTACAAAAGAAGACTTTGTTGTGTGTGTGCAAGTCTGTGTGTGTGTGTGTTGAACTTAAATGATAGCACAGATTTACACATTTGCCATAAATGAAGGGTAGTTTCTTAATCATTCTCTTCAAACGCTGAGTTCAACCATAGGTTGATCGTGCTTTCACAAATACCTTTTAATTTGCTGCCTCAGTCCATCAGGCATTGTGTACAGACTGCATGCACACCATTAGTTGTCAGCAGATGGGGGTCCTCATGAGTCATTCTGACAGCTAGCTTGCACGATCACAATAAAGTAGGCCCTGTTCTGCGATTTCCCTGAAGCTGGAAACAAGCCTTCTCGAAGGAATGTGTATCTTCCATGGCATTGCAGATCACTTACACATTAAGTGTCTTGACTTTGCAGGTGGTTTAATTGCTAATTGTATGGATGTTTCATTAAGAAACTGACCCTTCTACCCCTCTGTTCTTCTTACAGTTCTTGGCACTGGGCACACATTATGGCAAGGTTTATTTACTTGATGTCCAGGGGAACATCACTCAGAAGTTTGATGTAGTAAGTATTCAGAATAATGAGTGAACTGAATTTCATGCTGAAATTTGTGCTTTGGAATATTTGTTTTAGCCATTTGTTCTAAGAGCATAAAGAAAGGGTCATTATCAGTTAAATCAGAGTGCTGAGAGTTCTACTCTGAACTTTATTTATAGCCCATGCTAAAAATTTTAAAGGTGAACTTACAAAGAGAGAGTTCTATTTATAGGCGTACACATACACACATTATTTATTTTCATTGGTATCATCTATAGAAAATCCTTTTAAAAATGTATTTCTTATGTATCTGTTTAATTGCAGATCTTTAGATAATTGTAGCCATCTATTTGGCTTTAAATGGAGCATTTAAAATACCCCTATGTGTGTTTATTTTAAATTGTAACAATGTGGGGTGTCTAGGTGGATTGTTATTAAAAGAAAAAGTTTTACTTTTATTGGTGATTCATGGTGCTGATTTACATAGCCAGGGGGTTGGGGGGGTGTTGTGGAATCCTTGAAGTGTGAAGCCCCTCATTTGATGATTAATGTCAGTTGTAAGAACATGCACCATCATCTTCTCCAGATGCCAAATGTAATTGAAAATTGATTGATCACCTTGCTGGTTAAGTTTATCTCTTCTAAATATATAAAGCTAATATTTTATGTGAATGTTTTGAGGGTTGAACTCTTAGGGAATTATATTGGTTGAAAGAGAAGAGCCAGGCTTTTTATTTCTTTAACTGTGATTTGGAATCACCGAGGATGAAAGCAGTGTTAAATTTGAAGCTTCATTTTGGTGTTTAAGATGGGCCTTGAAAGTATCAAGTGTCCAAGGTTGTGAGAACATGAACCTTTGGGATGAAAAAGGTGATCATTTTAGGGAGCAGATGTTCCTTTTGTGAAGAAAGACTCAGCATTTGTTGAAAGATTCATCATGGAATTGGTGGTAGTGAGGAATTGGTGGTAGTGAGGAATTGGTGTAGTTTACAAAGGAGACTACAGTTTCTAAAGCTGACACATTGTATATGAAAGGTTTCAGGGTGCTTTGTTTTGCTTTAAGGAAAGGGAACCACAAATAATGAAGGAATCCTTGGAATTTTTGTAATAGTCCAGGGAGAGAAATATGTACTCTAATCACTGATCCCATCAGGTAAATGGTGGGTTCTTGTTTTGCGTCAGCATCCCTTTCAGACAAGAGGAATATACCTTTATTTTTTGTTTGGCCACACCACACAGCATTTGGGATCTTAGTTCCCCAAACAGGAATCGAACCTGTGCTCCCTGCATTGAAAGTGCAGGATCTTAACCACTGGACCACCAGAGAAGTCCAAGGGGGATATACTGTTGACCTTTTCTCTTCTCCTTACTTGACACTGGATACCCATTTTGATGATATAATAAGCATTTGGTCTTTCCATTGTTGTTGTTCAGTTCCCAGAGATGTGGTGTAGGACCTAGCCTCTTTTGCAACTGCATGGACTGCAGCATGCCAGGCCTCTCTTTCCCTCACCATCTCCTGAAGTTTGCCCACGTTCATGTCCATTGCATCAGTGATGCCATCCAGCCATCTCATCCTCTGACGCCCTCTGTTCTTTCTGCCCTCAATTCTTTCCCAGCATCAGGGACTTTTCCAGTGAGTCAGCTGTTCACTTCAGATGACCAAAATACTGGAGTTTCAGCTTCAGCATCAGTTCTTCCAGTGAGTATTTCAGGATTGATTTCCCTTCAGATTGATGTCCTTGCTGCCCAAGGGACTCTCAGGAGTCTTCTCCAGCACCACAGTTTGAAGGCATCAATTCTTTGGTGCTTTGCCTTCTTCATGGTCCAGCTTTTAAAATCGTATGTGACCACCGGGAAGACCATAGCCTTTACTACACAGACCTTTGTCAGCAGAGTAATGTCTCTGCTTTTCAACACACTGTCTAGGTTTGTCATAGCTTTCCTGCCAAGAATCAAACGTCTGCTGATTTCATGGCTACAGTCACCATCTGCAGTGATTTTAAAGCCCAAGAAGAGGAAATCTGTCTCTACTTCCACTATTTCCCCTTCTATTTGCCATGTAGTAATGGGGCCAGATGCTATGACCTTAGGTTTTTTTAACATTTAGTCTTAAGCCGGCTCTTTCACTCTCCTCCTTCACCTTCATCAAGAGGCTCTTTGGTTTCTCTTCACTTTCTGCCATTAGAGTGGTACCATCTGCGTATCTGAGGTTGTTGATGTTTCTCCCATGTATTTTGATCCCAGCTAGTAACTCATCCAGCCTGGCATTTCTCATGATGTGCTCAGCATATAGGTTAAACAAACTGGGTGACAGCAGACAGCCCTGTGGTACTCCTTTCTCAATCCTAAACCAATCAGTTGTTTCATACAGGGTTCTAACTGTTGCGTCTTGACCCACATACAGGTTTCTCATCCATTAAAACATGAGCTGGTGCTGGGCAGAGCTCTCTTCACTTTGAAGAAAAAGCTTGCTTGGATGCCGTCTTAAATTTCCAGCTCCAGTTTAATGATTCTATTAACAGTCTGCTTCTAAGTAAGTCTTTTTAATATTGTATAGAGACTACTTGACTCCTAAGGTTCACAAGACAGACACTGCTGGTTTCATGGCCAAAAGAGAAACCAGGAGAGACACTGTAGGAGTTTATTCATGTCTTCCTTCCTTCCTTCCTTCATGTAGTCCTCCTGTCTACTCCCTGTAAGCCTTCAGCTTTATCTTCTCTGATGTTAGTTTTATGTCAGGTATATTTTACATCCTTTTCCAGGTAATTCCTGCTTCTCTGTATTCAGGCCTGCCCATAGGACATCTTTGAAATTTAAGTTCTTTATAGCTTGCACTTATTTTTGGTAGGAGACAAAGATGGTTTGGTGCTCTTTTTGTTTGTTTACCTCACACCAGAATTTAATAGTCTGCTGTAGCGAAGTTTTTCACGAGGCCCCGAGTCTACATGAACCATTACCGTATAAGGTATATGACTTTGAGGTGACAAATTTCAGAATGTCATATTTTGAAAGGAGGCTTAATCTTCACCTTCTCATCTCAGATGAGTTTTCTGCTTTGTTGTTTTATTTTCCCATTTCTGATGATGTGGTTGCTGGGGGTGGGGTGGGGGGGGCTCTGTATCAGTGCTCTTGGAAAAGCATTCAATTCTAAAAACACCATTATGGCTTTAATTTGCAGACTTTCTTTGAAATGATTGCCATATTCAATCAAGAACTGTTTTCTTCATTTGAAAGGCAGCAAGAGTGAAACAAGTATTAAAAAAATTAGTGAATTACTTCTAGGTGAAACTAATTTAAACAAATTAAAATTAGATAAAATAATACCTTATACTTGCATAACACTTTTTTTTATTTTCTCAAGAACTGTCTGTTTAACCCATTCATTGTATTTATAGTTTTGATTGAAGTGATGAAGCAATATTTACAATTCTCATTTATTGATAGGGTTTTGTTTGGCAGAGCATGGGGACATAAAAGAATATTTTTCAAAGGTTTCCCAAATGATTCTGCTATTTGTATTGGAATAGAGTCATTGTACTAGGTGCTGTATAAGTTTACTTTAAATGCATATTATATAAAAGAAGAAATAACTAAACAAATTATTCTGCATGTTGAAAGTGATTTGCTTTCCCATTAATATTTCAGGAGAAATACTGATTAGCAGATTAACTCTACAAAAGCCAAGCAGATGGCTTACTGATGACATAGCAATTCCACTCCTAAGTACACATTCAAGAAAACTGAATGCAATGCCTGTGTCCCCCAAAATATATATGTGTAGAAGAATGTTAATAGGTTAATTTATAGTAACTCCAAACTAGAAACAACCCAAATGTCCGTCCATAGTAGAATGGATAAACCCATGATGGTATGTTCTCAGTGATTAAAAAGAAGAAACTATTGCAGCATGCAGCAACATGAATGAATTTTACTGTCTTGCTATTCAACCAAAGAAGCCAGACACAAATGTGTACATGTTGCATGATTCCCTTTATGCTGATCAAGAGAAGGCAAAAATCACACTATGGTGATAGAAGTCAGATTATGATTTGACCTGGGAGAGAGCACAGGTAGAATCTTCTGAAGTATTAATAATTGCCTCTATCTTGGTGGTTTCCTGGGTGTGTACGTGTGTAAAAGTCACTGAACCACATATTTGAGATTTGTGCACTTTATTCTGTGTGAGTTATACCTCGGTAACATGCACATGCACCTACAGAAATACCTCCACATGTGTATGTCTCTCTAACCTTGAAAGTGAAGTCACTCAGTCGTGTCCGACTCTTTGCGACCCCATGGACTGTAGCCTACCAGGCTCCTCAGTCCGTGGAATTTTCCAGGCAAGAGTACTGGAGTGGGGTGCCATTGCCTTCTCCAGGGGATCTTCCCAACCCAGGGATGGAACCCGGGTCTCCCGCATTGTAGGCAGATGCTCTACCCTCTGAGCCACCAGGGAGCAGTGCTCAAATTATCCTTTTTCTGTTGAAGCAACCTTTTCCTCTACTTGTTTCTAAATACCGGCACATTTTCTAAGTTGGTATCTTGTTCAGATATATATATATAGATATATATATATCTTATATATATCCATTTATATAAATGGATCACACCACTGAGATTTTTCTTACACTGTATATTCTTCTATCATTACATAAAAAGGTTGATAGAGAGGAGCCTGTGCTACCCCCCCATCTATGACTCTTCTTTGTTGATCAAAAGTGAAAACCACCAGGGTGATGATTTATTTTGCATGTTGATGTTGAGATTTCAATACATCTGAAAGGATACTCATTAAAATGCTTTAGCCACACTTTAAAGATTTTATCCCTAGGTATAACTTTATATTAATTCAGATTGAATTGATAAGGTTCAATTTTACTTAACTCACAGAATAAAAATTAAAATAGGCCTAGCTTCTCAGGTAAAGGGCTCAAGTTGCTTAGAAAATTGCCTGCTTGGCTGGATGCATGAGACAAGTGCTCAGGCCTGGTGCACTGGGAAGACCCAGAGGAATCAGGTGGAGA